AATATATAATTTCAACGAAACCTGTTAGAGATTAGTTTATACTAACTTTAGTACGTGTTGCAATGTTTATACAAAGTTCAGTAAATTGCACTATAGGTAATTTGTCCTGTTTTTGAGGCAAAAAGTAATAACAGCGGTGTTAAACGATTTTTTGACTTTTTAAATGATTTATATTTCAGATTTCTACAGTGGAAATATAACGGATATAACGAACAACGATTAGGGTAGTGAAAACGATTAGAATAGTAAGTTAAAAAAAATCGACCCGCGATTAGATATTTAAAAGAATAATTATTACAATAATGTATGTTTTTGCAGAATTCATTAATAATTAATTCGGTACCCATCATTAATATGTAAAAGTGAGATAAAACCATGCTTACTACAGTCGAACATGATATATTGAACAACATTTTTTCGTAAGACACTTTTTTATTTTTAATCAATGCTGAAAAAGTTGATGGTGGTTGTTTTGATTGTGGTTGTCAAAAGATCAGACAAATTCAAACATTTTAGTAAAATTCTATCTAAAATGACTTATGTGTAAAAAATAAACACATTTATTTTATAGTCAACTATGTACATTTTCAATCGTTATACAAACGCTTTAACAAATATTATATATTAAAAAAAACAGCACACATCACCGTCAATACTCCCCAAGTTCAATTTTTATGTTTATGCTTTGTATTTTGCGGTTACAAACGTTTAAAAATAAGTTTTAATTTTTAAAATTTTTTTCAAAGTGTAGTAGAGTTTGGCTACGATTTACGCCGATTTAAAGACACTGTTACGAAAAAAAATCTTACAGAATTACAAATTTTGACATGTTTTCTTTTTAATGCCATCAAAAAGGATATTATTTTTCAAATTTGAAAAAATTACTTTTTGCCTAAAAAACTGTCCAAATTACCTATAGTGCATTGTAAAAAAATCTGTGCCAATCGGCTAAACATTGGGAGTTTGGTGGACTATTTATATTAAAGCGGACGAAAATTTATGGGAGCTATATCAAAATCTGAACGGATTTCAACAAAACTTCGCATACGTCATCCTGTACTGTACGTCATTAAGCTGTGCGAAATTTTGCCTTAAGCTGAATAGCCTTAGGAGTTTGGTGCACTATTAAAAAACGGATGAACATATATAAATGGGAGCTGAATCTGAACCGATTTCAAAAAACTTCGCGGATGTCAACCTGCAGTAATTTCAGTGCGCTGTACAAAATTTTGCTAAATCGGACAAATATTGGGAGTTTGATGCACTATTTACATAAAATCGGACGAAATTATATATGGGAGCCTGTTACAAACATATGCACAAAGTCATAGTACCCTGAATTACAGAGTGGTGAACGGTATAAAAAGGAATTTCTTACAAATAATGCGCAAAAATAGAATAAGAGTTTGTGTCAGTAAAGATGTTCAGAGAAATGTGACCACACCAAGCCACTTAAACAGACAATTTACTATTGGAAAATGCAAAATTATTTGCCAATATACAGGGTTATCCATTTATTGTTTTCAGAAGTATGGCATACTATGTTGTTGAACCAACATTTTTTCTTTTCAATTAAAAGTCTAACATTGATGAAAATCGATGTCTAGCTATCTCGAAACGCATATAAATTATCAAAACCTTTTACAAAAATGGTGTTTTTGTCACAACCACATATGGGACTAGTTAAACCTTCAACTCTTAAGCATTTAAAAACCAACATACTTCAAGTTATAAAAAAGTGGTCGAAAATTGCCTCAAAAGAAGAAGAACAGGAACGTTAATTTAAATAGTAAGTTCCGACAATTATTTTTCTGCAAATGACTGTCAAAAATATTACCAGATTACCTTTCAGGGTATTTAAAGGATGTATAATGTTGACTAGTCTATAGAACAGAGTTTCACAAGACTTTCACTTCTTGCATACTCAAGAATATACTTATACCACTCTTTACTTAATCGTTTAAAGCTCAATATCGAACTTGTCATAACAGATCCTACATCTATAGTGGAGACTTTCCTTACAGTACTACCCTGAATAGATAGCTCTCTAGGTCAATAGCTTGATCAGATGTGAATGCCCAAAACAAGACGAAATTGTTTTCATAAAACTGGACTCATTACGCTGTGTCGGATGTTTTTAGAGACTTTAAGCGGTGAAATTGAACATCGAACTCATATTAATAAAAATGTAGATTATTTTGGATGAAATTCTTAACATAATTAAACCTTTTTCGGAAGAGGCATTATAAAATATTTACTTTTTCAAGTAAGTTTTGAAGACAATAAAGACGGTTTAACTAAAATAAATGATATCGAAAAAATAATGTGTCAATACCGCCGAAATTCCGATATTTATTAGTATTACAACTGTATAGCAAATATGTGTATTCAAATTTGTTTAAAGGATATATTTCTGTTGTTAACCCTTAAACCAGCGGAATTTATAAATGTGTTCTCAGAATTACATAAAACCATACCAATATTATAGCAAAGTATTTTTTAGAAATAAATACTTTACTTTTTTAAATAAATAAAGCTTTCAATATCGTCTTAGTGGTTTATGGGATAAATAAAGAGTATGGAGATTATGTGTGGAAATTCTTGTTTTATCTGTCTAAACTATAAGTTTTGAACATAAGGACCAAATAAATCAAGACGAAATTCAACTTATAAGTCATAGGCATGCTTTGTTTTTTATTTTATACACAATATTGAAATTTATTTGAAATAATTGTAAAAAGTATGAAATTAAAATAGGGGAGCAAACACACACACAGACACAACTGTTACAGACAGGACACGCATAAAATACTTAAGAGTTAGACATTAGAGGACGAAAATTTTTTCGGTTTAGTTTAGAAACATATAAACACATTTAGAGGTGAAGAAGAAGAAGATTAGAAACCATAAATATTTGAGGACAACGATAAATGGATCACAGACATGAGAAATGAAATGATGAAATATATGAAAACATAAATAAATAATTCGCCATGTACATTCAAAAAACTGAGTGTGATCGGAATGTTCCAGCTACAGTTTGAAATAGAATGGATGGTGGTTGGGTGGTGGATTTTGGATGGGTAGTGGATGAGAAAATGCCTTCAACTATAATATTTTCATTTTTTTTGTTTTGTTATAAAATTCCATTTGATTATTATCGAGTTTTAGTTATTTTGTTTTTTTTCGTTTTCTCTATTAATATTAGTTAACAATTACAAACAACAAGAACAACAACTATATTCATATGTATGTATATTTGACAAATCAAGGAAAGAAAAAAGTAAATGATATTATTACAGAAATATTGTGCCGAAATTATTTTGATTACAGAATGAAATTGAAACCAAAACCATAATGAAAGAAAAAAGAAATATTAAAAAATAAATAAATATTTTACAAAACAATAAATATTTTTAAATAAAAAAAAATAAAGTATTTTTGTAGATTTGTTTTTATTTTATTTCTTTCTTTTTTGCAGTGTTTTTGTATTTTTGGTTTAGAATAGAAGGCCTAAAAATAGTTATTTTTTTGATTTTAGAAAGACCTAATCATTAGCGATTTTTATTAAATTTTGCTCCGCAAATGTTAGATTTTATTTTCACAGAACCAATATTTTTCTCACATTTAATGAAAAACAAAAAAGAATATTCAAATAAAAATTAAACTTTTGTACAAAAACAAATAAAACATTAGAGAATATTCATTGCAAGAAAAAAATAACAAAAGAACAGAAAGAAATCCTTAGATACTGTACAGTACTGAGTGACTGAATTATTTGTTTACAGGAAAAAAAATATTTTGTAAATTAATATATTTTTGTTTTGATTTTATTTTGTACAAAGAAAAAAATAGAGTTAAGAATTTTTGTTTTTGTTTTCGATTTTTTTTTTTGGAATTAAATGGAAAATTGAATACTTTTACTTACTCTTTCCTTGGGGACCACGTGGTCCAGCCATACCAGGCATCATGTTGTCGCGCGGCGGTGGTGGAGGTCCTCTAGCACCCGGCCCTTGACCTCTGCCCCTTTGACTGGCCAAGCCACCGCGTCCTGCAGGGCCACCACCTTGCATCATTTGATTACTATATGTGTCGGGCGCCTCGGCTAAGAAATTCGATGGCACTAGGCCACGAACACCATCCAATTCGCCCATATAGAAACCATCTTCATCCATATCACCATACACAAGTATGATTTCACCCGTTTTGAAACTTAATTCCACTTGCTGATTGTTTTTATCAAAATTCGTTTTCGTTGGGGAAAAACAAAAAACAGATGCAATTAAATGTATACCGTTATGTATGTAAAACAGATAAAGAATGAAATCTCATTAAGTAGCACAAGAAGAAGAAGAATCATTTCTTTTTGCAGAAAAAAAAACAAAATAAAATATTCAAGCGTTGTTGTTACTTTTTTGTAATAAATTAAGCGATCGTGTGGTAGGCACTGTTGGTAGGTGGCGGTGGTGGTAGTTGTAGGTCTCCATGGGTAGTCTAGCGAACGAAGAGGTTATTTTTATATTTTTTCGGTTATTATAATAAGGTTGTGGTTTTGAGTACTGGATTTCGTTGTGTACAATTATTACTATATAGTTGTAATTAACTTATTATTTTGTTTAGAAATAAACATCTATCTGGTTTTATTTATAATTATTTCCTGGATTTGTTTTTTTAATATAGGGAATAGGTTAGAACGTGGACCATTCTAATTTTTGTCGCCTTTAACGTTTATATTTCAGGCATTAACCTCAACATTACAGGAAGCTACCAGGAAGCAGGAAGCGGATGAACTCAAGAAGTACAAAGCCGTTGTTATTGCCTTACAGGAAATGCGATGGAAAGGGACTCCATGAAGAAACATCCAACAACGGCATGAGGTTGATTGACTTCGCGGCAGCAAAAAACATGGTAGTTAGCAGCACCAAATTCAAGCATCTCGATATACACAAGGCCACTTGGATTTCTCCCGATCAAGCAACGAGACGAAATTGATCAATTTATGATAGACGGAAGGCATTCGTACAATATTTTAGACGATCGATCGATACGAGGAGCGAATATCTGGGCAGCGTATAGGGACAGACAGTTGCAACACGTAACGTGATGGATAATTTTGGATAATTTTCAGAAAACAGAAGAAAGAACAAGAAAATCGTGAGCGTGAGCAAATCGAAGACTTTGGTGCAGGCATATCCTCCTGTAGAGAAGAAGAAGAAAACCTGGTGACAGATACAGATAGCGTGCATTTTGAAAAGCTTCTGGTATCAAATAGCTGCGGTGAAGAAGATACCCCAGAACCAATAAGAGATGACGATATAGAGTGTATTCCACCTAGCCAAGATGAGGTCAGAGTAGCAATTAATCGGCTGAACTATTCAAGACCAGTGGTCAGATGATGGTCAGGAGTATGCACCAGCTCATTTCTACAATTTGGCTAGAGGAATGCATGCCCAATGTTTGGAACTTCAGCATCCTTTGTCCCGTGAACAAAAAAGCAGACAAGAGATATGTGCCAATAAAAGGCTATCCAGCGTGCTATGTGAAAGAAGCCAATGATCAATGACATTATTGGACCATACCAATGCGGCTTCAGGCGTGGTAAATCCACCATTGATCAGATGTTCACTCTTCGCCAGATCCTGGAAAAAACCCCACGAAAAACACATCGACACATTCCACCTATTCGTCGACTATAAAACCGCATTTGACAGCTCTATCCGTTCAGAGGTATTTTTGCGTTTGGTATTCTTGCAAAATTAATAAAAAGGAGTCTGCCAAGTGGGACTGGCAGTAAATGGTGAAAAGATGAACGATTTTATATACCTCGTTACCGCCTTATGCAAAACTAATAACATCATCTTTGAAATCCGGAAGAGAATAGTGTTGGTCAACAGATGCTACTAAGGTCTGAGTAAGCAACTCAAGCAAGGCCACCTCTCGCCAGACCAAACTCACACTCTACAAGACATTGATTGTACCCGTGGTGTTGTATGGATCTGGAGCATGGGTACTTGCGCAAGCAGATGAGGCAGCTGTTGGAGTGTTTGAGAGATAAATTCTTCGGAAGATCTTTGGGCCGATTTGCGTCGACGGTGAATATCGCCTTCGAATGAACCATAAGCTATACCATCTATTCTCGGACATCGACATTGTCAGACAGATCGGTGGCTATGCCATCTTGTGAGAATGGATGAAGATGACCCAGCTCAAAAGGCATATAAAAGCGAGCCAAGTGATGGTTCACGCAGAAGGGGAAGACAACATATCGGAAAATGGTCTTTCAAATTGGATGAGATTTTACGAAGAATAAATAAACAAAAAATATTTTGTTCGAATCAAAATATATGTGCACAATACTATAATTAATTTTTCTGAACGTTATTTTGTGTTTTTAACCTGATCTAATTGATTTTTCGCAATATCAATTTTTGACAGTATATAACATATATATTTGGGCCCCATTCGTACCTGGAAAACCGGAAACATGACCTCTCAGTTCATTAACATATCCCAATGGTATTAAGACTGCTTTCAAGGGAATATTTCAACGAAGGGCCTACGTTTTAGACTTCCTTAGACATATTTGCCATGCCGTCCCCGCAGATCAAGTTATTGGTGCACAATTATGTTTTCAATTCTTCGAATATGTAAATGACAAATATCGTATGCGTTCACACTAAATTGGCAGATAACATAATAAGCCTATACTTACTCGACATCGAGCATTGGAATCTGGTCATAGGGAATTTGGAAGTGAATTTCACTTACTCTGTGAAACATCACAAAATTGAACCTTTAAAATGACACGAGAGCCAACATAGGTTACCATTTGGTTTGGATTATCTTGTAATCTGAAAGTTTCTTGCTGGTTCTGGAAAGAACTTCGTATACATTTCTTAGGGTCCATAAATAATTATAAATAAAACCATAACTTTTGAATATAAAATTGTTATAAAAATTATTTAAGACATTTAATAGTTTAGTACAGGGTTGCCCTTATTCGACGGACCCATCTGGCAACGCCATAACTTTTGACAGAGATGTCACATCGCTTAATGACATACAGCGTTTGAAGCGTCAGTCCAATACACGTCACGCGAGCTCTCTGAAATAGTTGAAATTTACATTCAACAGAAGAAGTCAATTGTGAAAACTCAACGTGCTTTTAAAACATTAAAAAATGTGAGAAGTGCGCCTTCTAAGAACACCATTAAGCATTTATACGAAAAATTTTCGACTGGTAAGGCTCTTTCTAATCCGAAGAGGCCATATAAAAGTCGACCAAGGCGATCGGCCGAGAATATCGCTGCCGTACGAGCCAGTGTTGAGAGGTCCTCAAGAACATCCCAAAAACGCCGTTCTCAGCAGTTGGGCATGGCTCGGTCCACTTTACAACGGATTATTCGCATTGATTTGCATTTGTTCCCGTACAAAATTCAATTGACGCAAAGAATGTTGCCTGCGGACAAGCCTCGTCGATTGGAATGGGCCCAAAGAGTCATCGAAATGGCCGAAGATGACGAGCAATTTTGGAACAAAATTATCATGTCCGATGAAGCCCATTTCACATTGAATGGGACCGTAAATAAGCAAAATTGCCGTTTTTACGCCACTGAAAATCCTCAGGAGATTCAAGAAGTGCCTCTTCATGATGAAAAAGTCACAGTTTGGTGCGGCGTTAGTGCGAAAACGGTCATTGGGCCGTTTTTCTTCCAAAATGAAAATGGCCATGCTGTTACCATCAATCAGGAGCGTTATCGCGACATAAGCAAAAACAGCACAATACGTCATCAACGCCAGAGGCGGCCATTTGAGAGATATCATATTCAAAAATTGATGTAAACAAATCTACTTGGAACAAATTAAATGATTAACATTGCCAACCGCCAAATTTTTATTTTTTTCTTTGATTTAAAAAAAACATGGGTCCGTCGAATATGGGCAACCCCGTATATACTCAATAAATATTAATGATTGAGAAGATTTTGGACACTTATTTGGATCTAGCAATATATACACACACAGAAGAAGGCTATAATTCCAAAATTTGTTTTTCAAATTGCTATTTTTTTTCATTACGAAAACAAACTCACATTACGACGTCGTGGTGGTATGTCTTGGGCAAATGTTGGCACAAGACTATCAAGGAATCCCCCAAATAGACCTCCTCCTCCTCCTCCACCCATTTTAGCAGCCTTACGCTATATTGATATATAGAATACGCACACGCACACACATATAGATATGCACATACTAAAATAAATACACACACTCACACAAACAAAAAACATAGACATATACTTACTTCCGCATCCACATTCGGACTTAGCTCTTGTGGATCGTAGTCGTAGAGGGCAATCATACGTTTAACGGGCATATTCGCGTATATATCACCCCAACGATCGCGACTAACATTGCGCATACTTTGCTGGGTGCCCACCTGACCGGGCATAACTTGTGCAGTGCCGCCAGGTTGTTGTGGCATTTGACCCATTTGGCCGGTGCCATCATCAACCTCCGTCACCATATTATGAGGTACATAACCGCGACGACCGCGCAATTCGCCCCAATAAAAACCATCGGCATCCTTGTCACCATAAACCTAAATAATCGCAAAATGGGAAATATAGAATAAATATCGATTAAATAAACACATAATTGAATTTCAAGGACCACATAACGAAGGCGGTGCTGATGATGGCTTCGGAGGGAATGCCATTCTCAGCATTTGAACACAGTTGTATTTTATTTTATTTAATTTTTTTTGTAATACGAAAGAATGAAAGAAACATAGATATGATGCAAAGTATCAAATACAGAACAAGGTGAACGAACAATCGAAAAAAATAGTTACACTAATCTAATGTATAGGTGGTTATATATAGATAAACTATGTATGTATATATTTGTTATATAATATTGTTTATAGGTATATATAGAGATAGGTATATATGCTGATAGGTAGGTAGGTGGGTAATTATAATAAATCTTCATTACAACAACTAATCGTTTTCTAGGGTTACTAACATCTAAAATGGGTTGGCGGCTGGATGACAGGATGAATGGTAGGTTGAAGGGATTTATCTGATATTGTTGGTGGTGGTGATAGTGATAGTTTCTATTGTTTTTTTTTCTTTTAAAATGTATGTAAGGGGAATTTCACAAGTGTGACTAATAATGATTCGACAATACACAACTAATTTGTTTATGAAATCAATTAAATTGTTGTAAAAACAAATCGAATTATGTGAATTGTAAAGCTAACCGATCGAACTAAATGTTGAAACCACCAATTATTACAATTTTTTGTTTGTTTATTTTTTCAATTAAATTACAGTTGATGTTTTTTTTTTTAAAGCGGGTTCAAACACTTTTTTGGGGTTGACCACATGGTGACTATAAATTTTTCGGGTTTTTATAGGGTTTTCCGGTTTCTAATCTTACCTTGGATTATTCGTTTAGACCGGGGGGCACTCGAACTTACTTTGGCTGATGGCTGATCAACTACAATCTTCATGTCATTACATAAATTGCATCAAATTAACATTCATTCCAAGTTTTGAGGATTATACAAAATTTACTGAGAGAATGTGTGTAAGTGCTTGCTAAGATTTATTAAAAATTTAATTGAGTGGTGAAAGAGCCTCTTTCAACACCTTTCATTTATGAGTACATAACTTTTAATATCCTCAGCCGTATGGCTAATATGGCATCGGGGCATTGGGGTTGATTTACAAATGTCCGTCCGTCTAGCTGGTCCGATACCTCTCGAAAGGAATAATCGAATTCATCTAAACTTTGCACATCTTAATATTTTCTCAAAACTTAGTTCAAGTTCGAATATGGGGAATATCGGTCCGCTCCTTCTGGTACCTCTCCCACAAAATAGTAAATCGTGCTAAAAATATCATGCGAACCTATTATCTTTACAAAGCCTAGAATGAGGAAGGAGTGGACCCATTGGCCACTCCTTCTGGTACCTCCCACACAAATGGTAAAAATTTTCAATATTTATAAATGCAAAAAAAGGTGAATAGAATATCCGATTTGAACCGAACTTTGCACAACCTCTAATCTTTATCAAGCCTATATCAAGTCCGAATAATAACACCTGTGTGTAACTCTCACCATAGGGTGAGAGTATATATATGTCGGCAACACTGACTGACACTTTTTGACTTGTTTTAAAAATCGTATTTGCTGGCATTTTATTTGAACACGATTGCAAATTATAAGAGGCTTACTTCTCCAAATGAAATGCATCTGAAGTTCCTGACATTCTAATAACCAACCTTCGCATCAACATCAACACAATATAAGAATGACAGGGAATAGTGTCACCCAGTGGAGAATAGCAAAACTAAATAAGCATGAACTCAACCATGGCACAATGAATAGGTAGTCCATTTAGGGCAGCTGATGTCTTGATTAACTGTCAAAGTGCGTATTTTCTACTTGAATTCGATTTACAATGTTGCCAACCATGAGAAATACTATAAGGAAAAATTTGACAGATCGTCGAGATAAAAACAAAGGTTTTTGTTTTGATACATCACATTAGTATTGCATCATGGGCCCAACCACAACACAAAATACAGGGTGTCTATGTTTCTAGACAGCTCCTTTGCTGGAATAATAAACTGAGACTAATCGAATAAAATATCGATGTTTGGCATAAAAATCATCCCCATCAAAGGCCACCATCAATACGGTCCAACCACCAGACTTTTAAACATTTGTCGAAAAATCAGAAAAATGTCAAAATAATTGTATACTATCATAAGCAACGTCAGCAAAGCCAACTGTTAATAAAAAACTAGTTTTTTTAAGCGTATATGAGGTCTGATAAATAACCGTTATTTTCAAATTTCGAGAGTTAATATACCTGTAGAGAGTTAATATACCTATAGCTCGAGCACGCCATCAATCGATGGAAACAACGAAGCAATCTGAGAGGTTGCTGATGACATTGGCATATCGCTTGGCTCATGCCAAGCAACTTTTATGGAGGAAACGTGCTGTAGCGAAAATGGTTCCAAAACAGCTGTTGAACACCGTCAACCAGAATCATGCGTGCATTAAGAATTTTTGCCAAAAGTCAAGTGAAACCACCGTATTCACCGATTACGGAATCAGAATAGCAATCAATTGACTGAAGAATAATAAAGCAGCAGGTGCCGATGTGTTACAAGTCGAACTATTCAAGACTGGTGGTCAGATGCTGGTAAGCAGGATGCACCAGCTGATTAGACCTGGCTTCAGACCTGGAAAATACACCATTGACCAGATTTTTCTCTCTGCGCCAAATCCTCGAAAAACCCCACGAATAACCTATCAACACAGCCCTATCCGTTCAGTGATGTTTAAAGCCATGTCTGCATTTGGCATTCCTGCAAAATTGATAACTGGCACAAGATCAGCAGTTAAAGGGGGAGAGGACCTCTCGGAGCCCTTTAATATCCAACGAGGATTCGTGTGACCTAGAGCTATGAGGAAGCTGGGACCCATTAGTTCACTCCTTCTGGTACCTCCTCCACAAATTGTAAAAATTTTCAATATTTATAAATGCAAAAAAAAAGGTGAATGGAATATCCGATTTGAACCGAACTTTGCATAAACTATTATCTTTACCAAGCCTATATCAAGTCCGAATAATAACAAATTTTATGGAGGAAACGTGCTGTAGCGAAAATTGTTCCAAAACTGCTGTTGAACATCGTCAACCAGAATCATGCGTGCATTAAGAATTTTTGCCAAAAGTCAAGTGAAGCCACCGTATTCACCGATTACGGAATCAAAATAGCAATCAATCGACTGAAGAATAATAAAGCAGCAGGTGCCGATGGGTTACAAGTCGAACTATTCAAGACTGGTGGTCAGATGCTGGTAAGGAGGATGCACCAGCTGATTAGACCTGGCTTCAAAAAATCCTGGAAAATCCACCATTGACCAGACTTTTCTCTCTGCGCCAAATCCTCGAAAAACCCCACGAACAACATACCAACACAACCCTATCCGTTCAGTGATGTTTAAAGTCATGTCTGCATTTGGCATTCCTGCAAAATTGATTCGGCTATGCAAGATAACTTTAACTGGCACAAGATCAGCAGTTAAAGTGGGAGAGGACCTCTCGGAGCCATTTAATACCCAACGATGATTCGTGTGACCTTTTTTAACTTCCTGCTAGAAAAGGTCATACAAGAGGCAAAGAAATTACACTCTGTACACCAAACAGCTCATGTTACTCGCCTAGGCAGATGACATCGACATAATGGGTCGAACATTGAGAGCGGTAACATCCACTTTTGAGCAAATTGAGAAGGAGTCTGCCAAAGTGGTTCTGGCAGTAAACGACGAGAAGACCAAGCTGATGGTATCAAAGCGCAAGACGTCCAGTAGACTCGGACCAACTGTGGAACTTGAGTACTACAGCTTCGATGTAGTCAAAGATTGTATATACCTTGATATCAGTTTTGATATTCGGAGAAGAATAGTGTTGGCCAACAGATGCTACTATAGTCTAAGTAAGCAGTTTTGAATCTCCCCATTTCCCGCCAGATCAAACACTGATACTACCCGTATCAGATCGGAAGCATAGGTACTTGTGCAAGCAGAGTATATGAGAGAAAATTCTTTGAAAGATCTATGGACCGATCTGCGTTGACGGTGAATATCGCCGTCGAATGAACCATAAGTTGTACCAGCTATTCTCGGACATTGGCATTGTTAGACGTATCGAGATGCAGCAACTATGTTGGGTAGGTCATGTTGTGAGAGTGGATGAAGATGCCTCAGCTCAAAAGGAATATAAAGCGAACCAGAAGGTCACGAATTAGATGAAAAGGTCAAGTGGAAGACAATATTGACGAACATGGCCTTTCAAATTGGAAACTGTGCAAAAGACCGACGCGCCTGGAAATCTTTTTTAAGCTCGGCATATGGAACGAAATGTAAATATTATCCAAAAGAGTAAAGATTGTTTTAGAATTATAATTTATTCAGAAATATGAAAAAAAAAAACAAATAAAAACGTCGCTATGTTAGGCAGGTCCGAACTTGTTTATACTCTCTACCATGAGGTGCACAGTCAAATACTAGAAATCCATCGGGACTTTTATATGTGTGTTATGCCATCGAAAATTACTACCAAGATAAAATGAAATGTCAAAGTATTGGCTATTGGAAGTTTGAGGTCAAAATTCCTCAAATTGTGAAAATTGGCGGTACAGTTTTGTAGGGGCTATACCAAATTGGGGACAGATATCGATAATTTTTTTAGGATGTTTAGAACCAATTCGATTGAAAAACGTACCTAAAATTCCCAAAATATCGAATAATGGGGATAACATAATATGGGGGCAATTCCAAAACATGGGCCAATATTGATACTTTTTCGTAGAGAGATTTTATACCCAATCAGAGCCCCAAATACAAAATTACAGCTAGATCGTTGGAAAAACTTGCCCAAACCTACCAAAATTTCGAAAAAGTGGACCAATATTGATAATTTTTTTTTTTGGAAAGTGAGCTAATGGGGATAACATAATATGGGGGCAACTCCAAAACATGGGCCAATATTGATACTTTTTGGTAGAGAGATTTTATAGATCGTTTGAAAAACTTGCCAAAACCTACCAAAATTTCGAATATTGGGGATAAGGTTATATGGGCGGTATTTCGAAAAAGTGGACCAATATTGATAATTTTTTTTTTTTGGAAAGTGAGCTACCCCATAAGTACCTAAAATACCAAATTACAGTCAATTTGGCTGAAAATCATGTCCAAAATCCTCAAAATAAAATGTGGACTTAGAGCCTTTACATGATGTTAACCCAGCGACATGTGATGTACTGGACTTATCGCCTTGATTCATCAATACAAAAAACAATAACAATCGAGATCTGTATTCTTATTTTTTTTAGGTCGATGTATTTTTCCTTATTATACATAACTATATCAAAATCTCAATATCTCCAAAATTGGACTTCTTGCCTTTACAAGTTAAGCCAGCGATATGCTAAATTTCATTCGGGCAGGTGTAGAGAGTAGTTTGTATACAATGGGACACAAATTATGTAAACCAATTCCAGGTACAATTTGTTCAAAATTTCGGACAAACGTGAGAAGTTTGGTGCACCATTTTCTTAAGATCGGACGAAAATATATATTGAATCTGTATCCAAATCTGAACAGATTTCAACAAAACTTCGCGTACTTAATTTTGTCTCAATCCGACAAATAATGGAAATTGATGCACCATTATACATATAATCGGCTGAAAATACATATGGGAGCTATATCTAAATCTTAACCGATTTTCTCCAATCTCAAAATCAATAGGGTTTGTCCTTGGGTCAAATATGTGACCTATACCAATACTTTACAGTGTTTTTTAATGACAAAAAAATATTATCAAAGCTTTCTGATCTATTGTAAAGCGACCTAAATTAATCAGAAATTTTGTTTAGCTCCCAAATTATAATCGACCCAAAGTTTGTTTTATTAACACGAAATTTTGCAAAGCCTATAGAATTCGATGATGCCCTTTTGTTAAATTCAAATCGGTTTAAAGAAAACAAGTGAAAAAGCGTTAAGTTCGGCCGGGCCGAACTTTGGATACCCTCCACCATAGGTATACTGGCAGGTAATTGAAATGAAAATATAGGGAACATACCAAAAATGGACCTATACCGACATTTCTACAAATCGATTATGTAAACAATAATTTTTTATAGAAAATTATACCCTCAGCCTTATGGCTAATTAGTGTGTATACACTTTCACACGGTGAAAATGTGCCTCATCGAAATGTTGGTTCTAGACGCCATGTTTCTTTGAACCAAATCATTTTCAGAAAAATTTGATTCCATCCCATCTTATTATGTCTTCCAAATTTAGTTGAAGTCCGAGTTTGGGGAATATCGGTCCATGCCATCTGGAACCTCCCACACAGGGGCTACGGCTAAGCCGAAATGCGGGCTATAGCTCACATGTAGTTCATTATCGAACCGTACGTTATAGTTTTTTTTTTATCTCGATATCCTTCTAAGGTGAAATGATTACAACAGAGTGTTAGAACCAAACCCAAAACGCGGAAAAATCGCATAATTATATTAATATAAAAAATGGGGTTATATGGGGACTACGCTTAAAAGGGGTTGACTATCAATAATTTTTGGTAGGGAGATTTGTTTCCATATACGGCTACAAAATACAAAATTTCAGTGATTTCGGTTGAAAACGTGCTCAAGAACCTCAAAATACCGAAATTTGGAGGTACCCTTATATGGGAGCTACCGGAAAAAATGGACTTATATTTATAATTTTTAGTGGAGATATTTGGTACCCAATAAGAACCCAATGTACAAAATTTCAGCGAATTCGGTTGACAAATGCGCTCAAGAACCCCAAACTACCGAAAATTGGGGGTACCCTTATATGGGGGGCTACCAGAAAAAATGGACTTATATTCATAACTTTTTGTGGAGTGATTTGGAACCTATTAAGAACTCCAAGTACAAAATTACAGCCAATACGGTGGAAAAATACGACCAAAACCCCCAAAATACTGAAAATTAGGAGGTACCGTTATATGAGGGCTACCAGAAAAAGTGGACCTATATTTATAATTTTTTGTGGAGACATTTAGTAACCAATAAGAACCCAATGTACCAAATTTCAGCGGATTCGGTTGAAAAGCGCGCTCAAGAACCCCATAATACCGAAAATTGGGGGGTACCCTTATATGGGAGCTATGCCTAAACGTGACCGATATATCCCATCTGCGAACTTGCCCTGCCTGCAGACAAAAGACCTATCTCAATTCCTTCGGAAGATAGCGTGATTTCAACAGACGGACGGACATATATACTTTATAGGGTCGGAAATGAATATTTCGAATGACAAAATTAATATAACCTCCATACTATGGTGGAGGGTATAAAAATTGCTCTGAAAAGGGATGTTCTGTTGTAATACCAAATGTCCGAATATTTGCGAATATGCCCGATGAGCCACTTAACCAACGGTGAAACGCGTCGCATAATGGTGGAAATGTAGTACCTCACCTGTGTAAATAAAAACATTTACATAAGTGATCTTTCGCCCTAAAAGGCACAAAACTCAGTTAAGAAATTGATTGAATGATTAATATTTCTTAATATCGATTGGAACTATATTTCAAATCGTTTACAATGTATTCTATTTAATGAACTTGGAAAATTTGATTATGTCCTTAAGAATATGCCAAATCGAAAGGAATCGTTGTTGGTTCTAATTTTCCTGGTGAGTTTATAATGGACTACATCTAAACGTTGTTCTAAAAGGATATAAAATGATGTCCCCTAAACTAGTATATCGGCGATTTTCTTTCACAATGTTCACTTCGCTAAGGAGTACTCTTTGAAAGGTGTTTGAAGGAAGCATCTTGGCAAACAAAAATACTGCCTATTTTTTATTATGTTTTTGGATTTGTATTAATTTATCTGCTAGCAAAGAAAACACAAGCCTTATTCTATTTTTTTAATATTAGCCTAACAAACAATGTCTACAAAGTAAATTATCAAGGCCAAGCCAATTCTGCTCTTTGCATAATCATCGGATTTTAAAATATATTTTCGACTTCTTTTCTTGTTTCTTTCAAAAATTCCAAATAAAAAAACAACCGATAAAAAAACGATAATTGATAACTAATTTCTAGCCAAGAAGCAGTTCTGTCGTTACGAAACTTACCTTTATTGTATCACCCTCTTGGAATGGCAGTTCTTCGTCACATCCATCTGGATTGGGACTCATTGTGCTTGGATCATAGTCGAACATAGCAACGAAATAGCGCGGCTTTTTCTGTGCGGCCATTTGTTGCTGCTGTTGTTGTTGGGGCGTAAGGCCTTGCTGGCCGGGCATCATTTGTTGGCCCTGTTGCATGTGCTGGCCCTGCTGCATTTGTTGCTGCTGTTGCATTTGCTGTTGTTGTTGTTGCTGCTGCTGTTGCTGGTTGAGTGGACCTCGAAGGCCCATAGCACCCTGCATTTGGCCGCCTTGCATACCAGGCTGTTGCATTTGGCCAGGCATTTGACCTTGCATCATGCCCTGCTGCTGCTGCATGGGTCCACCAGGTTGCATTTGACCCGGAGGGGCAGGTCCTCGTTGGCCGGGGAAACGCTGCTGTGGACCCATGGGGCCTTGAGGTCCATACGGTTGTTGTTGCTGCTGCTGCATACCCTGAGGTCCTTGTGGCCGCATCATACGTTGCTGCTGCTGGCCCGGTGGGTAACCCTTTAGTTTCAATTCAATGGTTTAAACCCGAATTAAATTATTGTGTCAAATTGATTTTTGTTTGGTTTGATTTTGGAAAAAAGTTGTTTTTTTGTTTTTGTAAAGCAAAATTTTGTAAATTGTTTTCAAATGCAATGTTTTAAGTTTTGTAGTTTTGAAACTGGCATGGTTGGTATGCAATTCGTATTGTTAGAGATATAGAGATAGAGAGTCAGGCTCACACACACTGGGACATTTGCGGGCGCACGTTCTGGCCATAAACTAAAAACAGCTCTGAGACCCACATCCAGATGAATCACACTGTGGACATTGCCATGTCGTAAAAACTTCACGAAAGCGGAAAGCTCAAATTAACAAAAATTGTGACACCACAAATGTCCCAGTGTGTGCATGGAAAAGTAAAGTTTATTTTTAAGTTGTTATATTCGAAATAAAAATAAATTTAGTATTGGAACATAGAGGAAATTATAATGGCGGGGCGGGTATTAGTAGTAGTAATAGTAAAAGTAGGTAGGTAGGTTAGTTGGTAGGTCTGATTATGTACTTTGGGGTTAGGTGGGGGTGGCGGAGTTGAGGAGTATACGTATATAACGAGTATAGAGGTTATTGTTTTTTATTGCAGAACAAAGCTAAACAAGAAACACATAATTTGTTTATAAATATTTTGAATTTGAAAATTGAAAATAATAAGACTCTGAACTGAAAAACAAAGCACAACTAAAGTAGTTGAGTAGCAAAGTAGGTTAACTAAAAAACGAAACGATTGAAATGAAAATAGTTAAAAGCCATTTGAATATGATACACATAGAGTTAGGTCAGTAGTTTTCGGTTACAATGAGAACAGTTTTTTTACAGTGTACTTGATTGTTGACGTGGTTGGTTTTTATTTTTTATTTTTTTCTTGTGTTTGTGTGTGTATTGTTCATGTACACTGTGAGAAATAGTTTGTATCGAATGTATAATTATGTCTTTTTGACCTAACTGTTTGTTGTGTTTATCACTATTCCTAATGCACTAATTTCTTTGAACTTATAATTTTCCGAAAAAAGTAAAAAGAGGAAATTCTAAATTTTCTCTAGTCATATGGGAAATAAAAACAGCGCTAATCACAAATATCAGACGATGGGAAAGTAGTACTGCATTGATTGAAATCTCGCAAAGGAAATTACAATAAAATGGATCTTGGATGTTAACACTAGAAAGACGGGAATTTTGTATATACCTATATAGCCTAAAATCGGTCAAAATGACTTCATTCTGAAAAAATTTTTATTTTGTAAAGAAATTTTTTTAAACTATTTTTTTAATATTTTTTACAATATTTACAATCATACAAAACGTTGTTATTATTTGTTTTCGGTGGTAGGGCTCTCGAGTTTCCCCTTTTGAAAAATAAGAGCGCGGACAAAATGTTCGAAAAAAGAGGAAGTCTTTACTCTAAGAGTGAAATCGACTGGAAATATAAAATTTATTTTTCCCGATATGTGTTTCCTTTTGTGTTTCTAGAGTATCAAACGGTTTTCGATGTTGTTGTAGTGATCTTGTCATATAAGAAATTTACTTTATACAATAATAAAAGTATTTTGATTATTTAATATTTCACAAAAAGTCAAAATGACCGCTTTTAGGCTATATAGGTATAGCACATGTGAATACGGGGAATGAAAGAGGGGAGGAAGCAGCTACTATGATTAATAAACTGTGGTACAAAAAGTCACCAAATTTTAAAAAGCTGGGTCATAATATACACAATTGTTTTTGTACTTGAAATTGAAAAACGGTCAAAATGACTGCCTTCGGCTATCTAGTGTTAAACAATATTAGCTTCGATCAGTTCCCAGAATAAAGAGAACCCAACCAATATTTTTCTAGCTCTAAATGACGGCCAAAAATTTAACTATTCGATAAAGGTTTTATCGTTAAATATTTATACATTTTGTAGGAAATTTTTCTACCGAATTCGAATCCGAAATATTAAATAATAGCTAAAGCAGCAGGTGCCGATGGGTTACAAGCCGAACTATTCAAGACTGGTGGTCAGATGCTGGTAAGGAGCATGCACCAGCTGATTAGTACAATATGGCTGGAGGAATGCATGCCCAATGATTGGAAACTCAGCATCCTGTGTCCCGTGCACAAAAAATGAGACAAGACGATATGTGCCAACTATAGAGGAATACGTCTCCTTCCCATCGAATATCCAGCGTACTGTGTGAACGACTGAAGCCAATGGTTAATGACATTATTGGACCATACCAATGCAGCTTCGGACCTGGCAAATCCCGCTAAATATTGACAAGATTTTCACTCACGAAAAACACATCGACACATTCCAGCTATTCGTCGACTATAAAGCCGTATTCGACAGCCCCATCAGTTCAGAGGTATATAAAGCCATGTCTGCGTTTGGCATTCCTGCAAAATTAATTCGGCTATGCAGGAGAACATTAACTGGCACAAGATCAGCAGTTAAAGTCGGAAAGGACATCTCGGAGCCCTTTAATACCGAACGAGGATTCAGAGTGACAGTTTGTCGTGTGACCTTTTGAACATCCTTCTGGAAAAGGTGATACTAGCAATACCAACAACAACGTTATGTGCATTCGTCACAAAGTGACGACACATAGCAGTGGGAAATGTATTGTAGTTGTCTGTAAATGCCTTGTTGACCACGAAGTCAGGCGCCAACGAAACGAACTTCTCATTGGGGTCGTATCGCTGGTAACGTAAGAACTTCGAATTGTCACAAGAGACATTTGGGTTTGAAAGGTTTTTTGTAAAGAAGCTATTAATAGCTTCTGGGGAGAATATCCCAACAAAAAAACTAAGGGAACTGATGAGGATCAGTGGCGAGATCCGAAACTATAGTCTTCCCTGCCTTACCCCTCGGCGGACAATGCCATACATTAACCACTAATAAATAGTTGTTTTTTATAAAAACAACAAACTGGGATTAAGCCTGACTATTTTGCAAAAACAAAATACAAATGGTATCCCAAATAACCCGCCAACACTACTGAGGCTATAAAAATATTAAAAATAAATCACACCCTAAAAAAATATTTATTAAAAAATCCACGCCTTGTGATAGACTGTAAAAAATATTTATTAAAAAATCCACGCCTTGTGATAGACTGTAAAAAATATTTATTAAAAAATCCACGCCTTGTGATAGGCTGTAAAAATATTTTAAAAAAATCCACCCCTTGTGATAAGCCCTAAAAAAAGTATTTATTACAAAATCCATGCCTTGTGTTAGGCTTTAAAAATATTTTAAAAAAATTCCACAAGGCGTGTAAAAATATTTTTTAAAAAGGCCACGCCTTGTGATAGGCTGTAAATTTGTTTTAATCCACGCCTTGTGATAGGCTGTAAAAAATATATATTTTTTTAATCCACGCCTTGTGATAGCCTTTTTGTAGTAGGCCCTAATTTAATAACCGAAACAATATGGTCCCATACTCATTTATTATTGTGATTAGCACTGTTAGGGCAAATAAATAAAAATCCTATATATTTCTTTATATAAAATATTGAACTAACCTACAAACTAAACTATTTTTTAAAATATATATATAATTTAATATAAAATATATTTTATATATATTGTATGTGGCACTAAATCAATTCTAAGTATATAAAATATTTTATCAAGCATATTATTATTTATAAGAAGATAAAAAAACATATTTTTGTTGTTACTAAATTACAAACAATAAAAATAATACCAAACAATTTGCATTGTTTGATGGAATATTTTATATAAAGTAATTTTGTTATTTTTAATTATATATGTCTTTATATATAATATAATACAAAAAAAAGTGGTAAGAGCAAAAAGTTTCGTTTGAAATGTGATGAATGAGTTAAGACTTACGTTAACATTTTGAGTCGCTTGAGTCTGAGGTGTTTGTTTGGAAAAGAGGCCGCCGAGTATGCCTCCTAATAAACCAGAACTTCCGTCGGCCTGCATTTTGTACACAGATGAATTGGTTTGTTTGTTTTTTGGTTTTTGGTTTGGTTTTTTTTTTGTTTGTTTGTTGAGGAGTTGAGGGGGTAGTAGGAATTTATGTTTTAATTTCAACCATTTACAAAATATACAAAATGTCATGATGTATTAAATTTAAATGTTATTTTTTGGCAACTTTTAAATAAAATATTTTTATGAAATGGTAGTAGGGGAAAAACAACTCTCTTATTTGTTTAGGATAAATAATCGTTTTTTTTATTTGTAACAAAAAACATATGCAGATTGCTTTCCAGCTATAGTAATCGTTTTAACAGATCTTTCAATTATAAATCATGCCACAAGAAACCATCCCTTTTTCGACAAAGAAAAGGGAATCGTTCTTCATTAACTCAGTTAGTAGAAAAAGGAGGAAAAAATTGAACGGCAAGCAATTTTGAATGATTTTGAAAAAAAAAACATTGGCTCAAAATCGGGTCATTTGGGGTAAAGGGAGGACAAACGATTTATTCAAACTTACATACATCTTAGGATTTATAAACGCAATTGAAATTAATCTGATCTAATAATATTTGATAACAAAATCTCTTAATTTATCTTTAAAGGATTTAGTGATTTTCCTCTTTTCTTTACTTAAAACAAAATTATTTTTGAATAAGTAATCTTCTTTAACTTAGTTGAAACAAATTTGTTTTATAAGAAAATCTGTGGTGTAAGTAGGTGTTTGTATTTTTTTATTTTGTATTTATTTAAAAATTCGTGTTAGAATTGGTTTTAAGAATAGTTATAGGTGGGAAATGTGAACAAGAGAGAATGTGGTTGGATAAATTAAAGAGAATTGTATTGGTGCTTATTTATTCAAATTAATTATACATATGAAAATCCAAAACTTTTCCCATTCCCGCAAGCTACGCTTCTGGATGTCAAAAACTCGAAATTTTTTATGACTTTTTTGAAGATGTTCTAATATTTCCGATGTTTTTTTTTATGGAAAAATATATATTTTTTGTAACCAAATCGGTATGCCTTCACAAATTGAATCGATTTTTAGTTTTATAGATCTCTGCCATGGTAAAAACTGACATCGGCGCCTGTACAGACATCGACACGGATTAATGGACAAATTTTAGAATCCCATACAAAAACTTGTACAGTCAGAACAATTTCAAAACAATGAGAATCGTTGCTAGCATTAAGACAAAGAATCCAATAGGAAATGGCCTGAGAACAGCCAACCTGTCGCCTCTGTGATCCTTCCGGACCATGTTTTCAAATTGTTTAACCAAAAACTGTTCAATTATTGAAGGGAAATTATTTTAGAATAGTTTAGGTCTTTGTTCAAGGTTGTTATTATTTGTTCATATATTTTAATGAGATTTTTTAATATTCGGTATAAAATTGTTTCACTGAGCTTCTTACCACTGATGCGGGAAGACTATCTTTTCGAAGGACCCAAATTTGATCTGTGGAGAGTTTTTCCTCCAAGAGCGTATTAAAATCTTAACAACAACAACGAAGGAGTTGACATTATGACAATACAATTCGCGTCTCCAGATGGCGGATAGGCGGAAGGTTGATGACCATAATAATATTTAAAAACAGTTTATTCCGAAGTTAATGGGCTAATTTGATCAAATGTAACAAGGAGGGTCAAATCGGTCAACGAGGGTGTTCCCCTTAAACAAAAAACAAACAGGAAAGGTACAAAGAAAAATAAAGTGACGGTGCATGACCTAAATTCCTCAGTATCGTTGGGTGTCGTTGATCTGCCCACAAGTTACTCCCCATCGTGAACAAGCATCTTCTACAGTTGTGAGTGTCTTGGCATCTATAGTAACGGACGAATATGGATCTGAGTTTATGAACAAATGGGGAAAAACTATTTCGACCCAATCTTCCGAGAATGCGAGAGGAGGCAAGAGGCACATTAAAGGGAGTATGGACATAGATATGCTCACGACAAAAAAGAAGCCGCTATCTGGGGCACAGAGGCGGAATGTGGTCAGAATGAAACGGAGAAGCAAGTGCCCTGAAGGGTAAGGTTGTGGTGAGTGACCTGAGGATGCCATGCATTTCAATCACTACAGACATGCAACTAACGAACGAATATGGATCTGAGTTTAAGAACAAATGTGAAAAAAATATTTCGACCCAATCTTCCAAGAACAGCGGGAGAGAGTTAGATCAAAATGCCAGAGGAAGCAAGAGGCAGATACGAGGGAGTTTGGACATTGATACGCCCGCGACAAAAAAGAAGCCGCTATCTGTGGCACAGAGGCGGAATGTGGATCCAGGATGAAGCGGAGGAGCAAGAGCCCAGAAGGATAAGGTTGTGGTGGGTGACCTAAGGATACCATGCACGCACTGGCTCAGTGCAAGTATTATGATGTCGTTAGAGAATTGTCCAAAATTAGTATTCACAAGGGCACGTGGTGCGTATGCAAGGGAGGTGTTTACCAGGAGGAGGAGGACTAGAATTAGCGGAGGTGATTCTCATAGCTATTCGTCTTCTTGTATATGGTCCTGTTTATGAGTTGCTTAGCGTTTCCCCGTATGGTTGCGTTTGGTTACGGCCCTTGATTGTTGGTTTCCGGGGTTTGGTCCGACGGACTGGATACTCATGAGACTGTCTGGTCACTGTCCTGAGTGAGTGATCCGACGGGCCGGATATCTGAGTGATTACGGTCACTGTCCTGAGTGTGTGATTCGTCAGGCCGGATACCCGAGTGGTTACGGCCACTGTCCTGTGTGGATGTGTTGTGTAGGTCGGAATGCTCGTGAAGGTATTCTGGTGTTTGTTTTGACTGCTATTAGTTCAAATGGTAGTAGTTTTGGCTACGAAAAGGTGCAGAGGCTAATCTGTGGGGGACCATTCCTGAACTAGCAGAATTGTAGAGCCAATGTCGTAAGATGTTGGTGGTCACTCTTTTTCCCCCCTTTCAACGAGTGTATCATGCTGGAAGTATCATACGCTGAGTGTCATGCTGGAAGTGGTTTATACCCAAATCGCGGATAGAGCTTCGGTTCGGTGTGGTATTACAAACAGGTGTCTGGCCCATAGAAAGTTAGGAATTTTAGATAAGCTCCGCTTCTAATCCAAGGAGGTGATCACGTCCAAATACGTGTAATCGATTTGTGACTGACTGCGGACGCGGCGAAGACGATTAGGTCTCCTAAAGAGTACACGAACGCCAAGCCCGCAAAAAAGCTTCCAGTCGGATGATATAAAGATAAAACTGAACCAACTCAAAGTTGAAGGAGACTGCCATAAAAATACACCGACTGAGGTCGACAAAGCTGCTGTATCCAGAATCTTCCGCAAAATACTTTGAATCCCAAATGGGCTATACGGAACGTAAGAATGAAAAAGATGGCAACAACAACTGGTAATTAGCTGCCTCAAACTTATATCGAAAAAGGGCATTCCTCAACTATAAAAGGCAACTGTCTTCCTAAGAAATTGGGGTGAGTTCAGGACAGAAGGTTAGCTCGAAGAATTTGCAGACCAAAGCAAATTAAGAAATTGGAAGTCCTTCAAAGAGAAGAGAACAAAGAAGAGACTCTTCTTGTGGTAAGGTAATCAATGGCAAGTCTGGCAAAGACTATGGGTAAGGTACACTACGTGCTCTACGCTGTCTACTATTTGAAGCAACAACATGCAGCGACGATGAAACACCCAGCAACAAAAGTAAGGTAATCGAGTAGCAGATAATAGACTATCAAGAAATAATAAGGCACCAATGCCTCTGATGGTAAAATTAATTAAAAAACAACTAAAAACACGAAGTTTAGTGGGCCAGGAAGAACTTATTATACCCTGTACCTTTTACGTTCAAAATTTTAATTAATAAGTCGATACCTTTCAAAAATTGACCTATAATGATTATTTTCTGCGCAAATGTATGACATGATATTGGAGGTCAACCCCCTGAAATGTAAAATTCGAATATGTTCGATTGAAAATGATCTGGAACATCATATGGGGGCTATGTCAAAACATGGGCCTATAAAGATCTTTTTCTGGGCCAACCTCCAAAACATCGAAATGTCAAATTAAATGCCTTTATCATTAAAAAATGCGGTTCCCTCAAACTACAGAATATATACAGAATACTACAGAATATATGGCGGCACCTCTATATGAGGGCTATGTCTAAAAATGGACCTGCATTGATCATTTTTTGCGCAGCCTCCAAAGCCCCGAAATGCCATGTCAGAGACTTTTCGATTGGAAAATGTGGCTAAAACCCAAAAAATATCGAAAATTGGACGGGACCAATGATAGTGCAAAACTGCAAAGCTATATTTTTATTTTTCATGGCTAAATCAGCATCGACAATTTTATTCTGATCAACAATGGGCTCTAGGACAAATCTTTCGAAGTGTTGCAAACGGAATACCAAATTTAATATATACTTCACCTTATGGTGGAGGACAGTTAAAAACAAGGTCTCTGGATTAAACCAATTACGAACTATTTTATTCGAACGCTGCTTCTCGAACCAGAATCTTTGTAATATAATACAAATATGCATGGCTTCTCTTCTCCATCTCTTTAGTAAAATTTACCTAATATATCGAACATTATGGCTATGTACGTGATATTTTAAAAAAATTATATAAAGCGCAATTTTTACCAATACAATTTTCTTTAATTATCATTCGTTTAATGTTAGTATTAGAGTTATTTAAGTTTATAGAAAAGTGGTCTTGCAAATTAGTAGAATTCCACAAAAAGGAACATTTTATTTTTTTGAAGTGAGAAGAAACCAAAAATACGAAATATGAATTTATGCAAATGAAATGAAAGTTTTTTTTCTTTATCACACTTAAGACGTAGAAGAAAGTGCAGGCAAATAAAAACTCAATTAAGTTTTGTGTAGAAGAAGAAGAAGTGTTGTAATTGAGGTGGTGTTGTGTAAATATTTTTTTGTTATCAAGAAAAATTGTCTAGAATTTTGTTTGAAAGGGAAAAAGTTTAGATTTTTCTGTATGAAAAATGTTTAATGTAATTTTGTACAGTGTAGTGAAAAGCTGTATATATATATGTATGTAATACAGAGTTGCCAACTTGTGCTTGAAAACAAACAGGAAAAAAAGAGACATGGACAACAATTCTGTAAACATTGGGGGAAGTTTTTGTTGTTTTAGTGGAAATTTGTAAAGTTTTTTTTTTAAGTTTTTTTAAAAATAGTAGTTTTTTAAGGTTAGTAAGTAGAAATATTTTACAGTTGGATGTATGTAGTTGTAGTGGTTAAAACGTTGACAACACAGAATATAATGGTAATAGTATAATTGTATAAGTAAGTATAAGAGTTAGACTTTGTAGGGAATTGAAATGGAAATGTTGTGTATTTTCCCTTGTTTTGGGGGGAAAATACAAAGTTGTTGTTTTTTTTTTTTTGGTTTCGTTTGGAAATATATATGTAACAGATGCCAATAATGTTTATTATTTTGTCGGTCATCGACAACACTTACCGCTTGACCTGGTTGTCCTTGCTGTTGTTGGCCCGGTTGTTGCATTCCCTGCTGCTGTTGCTGTTGTGGATGCATTTGATTTGGATCATATTGATTCGGATCCTGGCCCATCATTTGCTGTTGCATACCCATTTGACCGTGTGGCCCTTGGGGTAATTGTGGACCCATACCCATGCCCATTTGATTTGGTCCCCTTCTACCCACGGCATTTCGTACAGAATCTAAATAAAGGAAATTAAAAATTTTTTATTAATAACGGGTCCAAATATGCCAACCGGCCGAAGAATTTTTTTAACTCACTTGGTATTAGTATGGGTGCACTATCAGCCGATTGTGAGTCACGCGATTTCGTTCGTATAGTCACGGCTCTTGGATTGAATGTACCCAATTTACCAATGTCTATGAGTGCATGATCACCCGTGGGTGAATTGATATCGGTTACCTTTTTACCATCAGCGTACACAGAATAGCCGGTTACAGGCCCCGATGATGTGGGCCTATTAACTGGCTGCCATGTCACTAGAATGGTACCATCTTGAGGACCAGCCTCAAGTTGAATTTCCTGAAAAGAAAAGGTGGAAACACAATTAATAAATAACGGTGAGGAATGACCGGACGAAAATTCTACGGGAACGGCAGTAAGAACATAGAAGAAATGGTACGAAAATAAAATAAAAACGGTTGAGAATTCCTACTAAAAGTGTAGAAGAGTTCTAAATGGAATGACATTTCTGGACGATCGGACAATTATAGGGTTTTAGTGTGACATAAACTCTGATGCAATTATATGTGGGAACTATATCTCGGGGTTTACACACGCAACTTTTTTAAGCAACTCTGCTGCTGCTCTTTACGATTCTCTCTTGAATTTCTTCCCCCTTGCCACTTTTCATACCTTTCTCTCCTAAGAACTCGGCAGAGTTGCTTACGGAAATTGCATGTGGGATTTACACAGTATCGAAATTTAAACGAATCTCTATTTTTTTTAATTTAAATTTTCACTTACCTGTGGTGGATCTGGTAACCCCTTGGTTAATGTACGGAAATCAGCATACGCTCCGGGAGCTTCCTCCTGTGGACGTCCCTGTCCGGGCTGTGAACCACCGGGTGCCCTTAAATGTTTTGCCCTTACCGTTACACGATATTGGGTGCTGGGAGCCAAACCCGTTATGGTATGACGATAGACACCCGGCTTAACAGTTCGCACTTCCACATTATTTACACAGACGACATGCTGATGATTGGAATTGGCTGGCAGCCATGTGATGACAGCCGATGAACACGTTATGTGTGTAGCACGAACTGATGATGGACCCAAATGTGAGGTATCACGACCAATGATCATTGTACAGGCGGCATCACGTGATTGTTGGCGATTCTGGGTGACACTGCGAACACTAATGCGATGAGGCTGTTTGATATGGCAACAATGTTGATGATTAGTTGTTGATGAAGGCGTTTTGTGTTTCAACTTACCCGATTTGAATCCACGCCCTCTATAAGAGCACGTGTGCGTTCATTAGCTTTTACCGTGACTTTAAGTACACCATCCACATAGACATGATAACTATCAATGAGATTGTAGCCACATGGTTCCGGAGGAGACCAACCGATCAGTACACTTTTGTTCAGTTGCCTTTCCAATGTTAAATGTTTTGGTGCTGGTACTAAATTAAAAAAGTAAGAAAATATATATTAGAACTTAGTATATATCTGCAAGTGAGGTAGTCTGAAAATCAAGCCTATAAGTGGGGAAAGCTAGCCTTATTTTCTTAGAAAAAAGAAGTTTGAAAAAAATATATTCTTACTTGCAAAACAACAATTGTCAACACAAAAAAAAATCAAAAGTCATTGTTGTAGAATGTGTTACATAAAAAACATCAAATTATTATACACACCCTGTTTATTTTATCTATTTTTTCATGGAAGCCTTACCATTATCACTAATGTCATCCTGATCATGTTCCAAATCTGTATGCGATTCACTTAATCTAGCCAAATCCTCTTGTGTGTGGGTGAGCAATGGATTGTGTGGTGGCAATGAGGGCAATGACGTTGAATCACATTGCATCGAACCATCTTCGGCATCGCGTAAGGTGGACAGCACAGCTTGATGGAATTCCAAGAGATCATCGCCTGTTCATGGAATATTAAAAAAGAAATTAGTAAATCGGTAAGTAGTTCATAATTTTTGGGAAGTATTTTTTTTTTTTTTTTGAAATTTACCTATTAACCGCTGTACAAATGAGGCAGGCACCAGGCCTCGTCTACCATCCAACAATTCAGCATCAAGGTAACCACCTTGAGGCTCACCACTGGTCCAAACTAACAGATAATCGCCAGCACATAATGATAGTTCACCTTCGGCGTCCCTAAAATTTATTTCAAGGAAAATTATTAAATTATTAATAAAGCAAATGGATTTCAATTCCGAGTATTTTAAAAATGCAGAATGGCTTTCTCTTTATCGAAAAATTTGGCCGAGTGATGATATATTTTCCCATATAAAGATATATTTGTTTATGTTTTGCCCTCCCGACATAGAATTGGTCACATATTTCGATTTTTTTCGATCTAATGTTCCCCAAAAATATCCAAAGTTTTTCGATTAGTGTATGAAAACAAAAAGGAATGAATGACAATTTTGAAAATATTTGGTCTGTTCCAGTACTTTTTTAATAGTAAATCTAGTAAAAGGGAAACATTTCAAAATTGCTCCCAGAGTACAAAATAATTTGAAAAAAAAATTTGGGAACGCAAATATAGTAAATATGCCAAAATTAGATGGCAATACTTCAAAATCAACATAACAGCCAATCAGAAGTAGGCATTCCTGTTTACCATTTTTCCTCAGCCAAATTTCTCGAGTAAAAAGTTTACAAAGAGAACGCCATTTTGTTTTGTGCTCTCTTAAATTTGTGTTAATGTTTTATCAGTTTTGTGGGTTGAGGAACGGTTTTCGAGTAAAAAGTTGCAAAACATGTAAAATGAGTAGATTGTTTAGGTTCTGGAACGGAACTATTTTTTTATTTTCAAATGTTTCTCTTTTATAATTGAATGTGTGAGCAATTTGACACACACTGACAGCCCATGGGACCTATTTTGAGCACTGCCGTTTTGAAGTAATTTCATCTAATTTTGAAATATTTACTAGATTTCCGTTCGCGAACTTTTGTAAATATTTTGTACATTGAAAGTGATTTTGACTTTACTCCCTTTTACTAGATTTACTATTAAAAAGAACTGGAACAGACCAAACACTAAATGAGAAAGTACAAGTAAAAGTTGTTTCTGTGCAACTACAGATGGCAGCCCCACCACCTAGGACAGACTACAACAGACCAATCTTCGACTTAAATGAAATAAAAAACTCAAATCATTAACGAAGCCAACACAAAGAGGAGCAAAAGAAGAATAAATCCTCTACTTAAACATTTAGACAGTTGGTTCCAATATTAATGTACACATTCATTCAGGTGGACCAAAACAAGTATACATGACAGTACGTGCAAAATTAGAAGACAGAAGACGTTTAATTCAGTAGAGCGGAAAATGTACCAGGATACAATTGGTCCAGGTGAAAATCCTAGAGAGGAAAAATGATTTCAAAGTGGGTTTTCGAATATTTTTAAAGAGAGGCTTACATTTCCCTCCAAATGAAATGCAGCCGAAGCCCCCTAACATTCTAATAACCAAACTTGACACCAAAAAATGGGGATAACATAAAATTGTAATGGCGCTATCCAGAGGAAAATGAAAACAATAAATAAGCAAGGATATTTTAACTTATTATATCTGTATTAGATTCATATTCTTTTCACGAAATTAAACCCAAAGTGGCTGCTTGTTTTTGTGGTTTCTAAATGAAACGCTTTGAAAAAACTATCTTTGAGGTCACCCAGATAAAAATCAGAAGAAGATATTTTAACTTATTATATCTGTATTAGATTCATATTCTTTTCACGAAATTAATCCCAAAGGATGAAGTCACGGTGTATTAATCTGTTTGATATTTGAAAAGATCGATGTAGGAACACCTCTCCCAGAGCATAAAGAAAAGACTGGAGCAAACGGAACTAAATACACGAAAGAACTGAACTAAGTTTTTTTCAGAACGAACGTTATGTTGTACGTAAAAGAGTAATAATTCCGTTGCATGTAAGTGTTACCCAGATCAATATCATCCAACTCCGTCTATAAAATATCATTAATTTTCTCTCGATAACATAGCTAATTTAACGTTATTTTCGAAAAATGGATGGAGTGGCGTCTTATCTATTACTGTTTGGGTCAACGAGATGGAAATGTGCCACATAAGTTAAGATTAGTTTTTTATGAAAATTGGAATATTTCTACAAAACGAATGACATCGGTTTTGGAATTCGGAGAAGGATAGTGATGGCCAACGGATGCTACAATGGTCTGAGCAAACAACTGAAAAGCAAGGCCACCTCCCGCCAGACCAAACTCACACTCTACAAGACGCTGATACTACCCGTGCTGTTATACGGATCTAAAGCATGGGTACTTACGCACGTTGGAAAGATCAAGTCGAAGACAACATCGCCGAAAATGGTCTTTCAAACGCGAAAAACGCAAAAGCTCGGCTTATGGAACGAAAGTTCTGCCACAAGCCAGCTAAGTAAGTAAGAATATTTCTTATGTATTTTATTGCGATCTTACAATGTGCTCTACGACGACCCAAAAACGATTTAATTTTGCAACCTCAGATTTAGGGTTACTGAGGATATATATCCATTTTTACGATACGAAAATATGCCTCATCATAGAATCATCATACTCTGCTTGTCTAGAGATTCCCATATAAAGATGCCTCCACATATTCGGTATTTTGAAGGTCTTATCGGCATTTTCCCACCGAAATGGCTGTAATTTGACGTTCCGGGGTTTTAGATGGTGGAAACACATTTGCATAGTTTTGACATAGGCATTTTTGCCACACGTGCCCCCTACCGAATATAGCTATTATTAAAATACAACATTAGAACCCCCGGTGACAAATGGTTGAACTACGGAAAACTGTCAAAACGGAGTCAGCTGCTTTCAGGAGAAATCAACAATAGTTGATCAGCCGAAAAACTGTTAAAGGAGACGCATTTCACATAATCGAGACCAGTCGTTTGTCGATGGCTGGTGAGTTAAGTGCGATTGGGAGGAGGAAAGGAGAAAAGCCAAAAATAGACCATGGATCTTAGTGGTGACTGGACTGAGCGCAGGGCCAAGTGAGGGTTGTTGCAATACTCCATATTCATCGAGCTGCGTTGACAGCAACAGAACGTAGGGCCACGTGAGGGTTGTAGCAATACTCCATATTATTCGGGCTGTGTTTCTAGCCGCCGAGATGGCCTTAATTTGGCATGCCGGGTTCTTGGGGATTGAAAACATATTTGAAGCAATATTTCGATATTGGTACTGGATTGACATAATCCCCACATAAAGACCCCGCCTTTATTTCGCTACCTTATTGACTGTAAATTGATATTCCTGGCGAATATAAAACTTCTATCCCGAACATTTCTGATATACATTTCCATGTAATTTTATAGGCCTCATATAAAGGAATGTTATATACATTTATTTAAACATTAACGTCCACACCTGCCCCCTACCGAAGATAGCTATCATTAAAATACAGCATTAGAACCCCCGGAGGCAAATGGTGGAACTACGAAAAACTGTCAAATTGAATCAGCTGCTTTCAGGAGAAAACATCAAAAGGAGACGCATTTCATAAAATCTAAATAAGTCTGTTGATGGCTGGTGAGATAAGTGTGATTGGGAGGAAGAAAAGGCGCGGATCCTTGCTTGAACTGAGCTTTATTAAGCCAAACAATAGGTCTTGGCACTTACAGTACGTTTACATTTAACCGGATTTCGTTAACCCAGTGGGTTTCAATTGTCATTTCCTTTGCATATATGTCAAATAAATCCTCATAAAGTAGGTTAACCCGGTAAAAAGTTCTAATGTACAAGGAGTTTTAGTGATGACTATACTGAGCGAAGAGCCAATTGATGGTTGTAGCAATACTCCATATTCTTCGGGCTGCGTTGAAGCACTCATTGGGATCCGCGGTGCCAAAGCTGACGTCACTGCTACTCGCCTACTCACATATCGACGTAACTATGTGATTTTCTGTGCTGCGTAAACAGTATATTAAGAAAATGTATTGCGTTTAAAAAAACAACATTGAGCGTCTCTTTCTCTTTTTTTGACCTATTGTATAAATTCTTGTGACGGCTCTGGCCCGCTGAACCTACCTTACCTTTAAAGTGAAAACATTTATTTTTTATGGTTTATAGTTTTACAAAGCTTTCTCTTCTGGAATTATTTTTATAAAAAGTTGAAGGTCAAATATATAGTACGGTACTTACTCTGGTGGATCGTAAGGAAAACGTGCTATAAATACACAACAACGTCCTTTGCCTGGTATATCTAACATATCCACTTGAGGTTCACTGATGCCATTGTTCAAATTATGATTGCGAGCTAAAAGAAACGATATGAGAAACAACAACAAAGTGGGGTAAGGGTATTGGTTTAACGAAGCAAGCAGTACGATTACGCGCTTAAACTAAAGGATCTGCTTCGAAACTAAAATTATGTTTTAAAACTAAACTTTGATTTACATTCAAGTGATACACTTACTTTCTAAATCCAATGGCGCTAAAGCTAAACCACTTCGACTGTGCATCAAACTGTCCTGGAATTCATCCAAGCCCCAGGTATTAGGTGGTATCGGTGAGCAAGGCGAACTACGATTTCCGTAACGTGTCAACGGTATATCGATCTCTTCCAACATTTTCATTTTGGTAGCATTGCGCAGGGCAGCCGATGTAAAGGGATATGATGCGGACGAGGCTACGTCGAGAAATGAAGGCGGTGGACCAAAAGTGTTCTGCAATCCGGGTGCCAACCCACTAACACCACTGCCGAGGCCATAAAGCGATGATGTGCCGGCGAGACCGGTACCCAATCCGGTTAGACCGCTGGTGCCGAGTAGAGCGCTTGTATCCAGTCCCGGGATTGAGGGATGTGTTAGAGAGGCGCCCAATGGTGGTAGGCCAGGTGTGGGACCGGTACCACTCAGCCCAAGGGCTGAGTAACTGTTCGTGCCCGTGGGTAAATTATGCGAGTTCAGCGAGAGGATAGGCATAGTTGTGCTCTGTAAATTGTATAGTTGTATTGTGCCACGCTATTATTATTGCAATATTGGTAATTGGTTGTTTGATTTTTTATTTGTTTGTAGTAGTGAGATATAAGCAAAATTGAGTACACACACACAAAGATACAAAGTAGACAGTGTTGACAATTCGAAAAAAATATTGCAACGTTTTTTGTTTGATTTTTTTGGTGGATAAATATTATTGTTGTTTTTTGTTTTATTGCATTGGTTAGTTGATGTTGTTGTTGTAATTATTTGCATTTTGTGTAGTTTTGTTGTTGTTGTCGTTTTTTTATTAAAAACAAAGACATAGAGAAATACAGAGACAAATGAGGATACAAAGGCAGACGCATAGACACACACACATACACATATGTACAGGAAACATTGATCACATCACAGTGTGATGAGTGTATGTATGTTGTTTGAATGTGTGTGAGTGTAAATTTTAGAGTATGTTGATAGAACAAGGATACCATAGTTGTTTGTAGTTGTCGTCGTTGTCCACACACACACACACACACAAAAAGTTTACGAGAAGAAAAGAAACGATTTTATAATAGTCGAAACGGAAACGGATATGAAATGTATATCACAGCAGTTACGACACACACAACACAAAGTTGTACGAGAAAGTTGTAGTTTTATATATGTATATTTGATTGTTGTATGTAGAACAGACGCAGAGGAGAAGAGGCAAAGAAATCACATATATATATATAGATATTAAAGAGAAGCATACATATATATAGAGAGAGAATGAGAGAAGAGAAAGAGAAAAAAGAATAGAAAAAATAAAGAAATCATTTTATAATTTCTTTGGGTTTTTCCTTCTTCAGTTGTTGTTTTGAGTTATTGTTGTTATTTATAGCAAAAAGGAAGAGAGTGTTTTGTATTTTTGTTAGTTCGAGCAAGCGAAATAGTTGTTAGTCGTTAATGAACTTTTTTTTTTGTTTTTGTTGCTTGTCCTTTCATCTATCTTTTTCGGGTTTGCCACACAGCTGACTGGCAAGGAAACTTTTGTAGAAAAATGTAAGAAAAATCACCGACTTTGTTAGCATAAGGTATATTCTACAAAAAGTCGAAAATGTAAAATTTAATGAACTCACCATACTTGTTTAACAAGCCTCGTATCTTATTATGACATAGTTCCAATATTCAATCGCTTGAATGTACTTCTGTACTACATTTTATTTCTTTAAATTCGAAATTTAAAAA